TGATCAAAGAATCTTCCCAATGAAAAATAATGAAACATTTCTTTCTCTTTTCCAATGCTTTCATGCTTATGCTTTACCATTTTTGCCTCTTTTTGTGTCCTGTTAACCTCTTTGGACTGACTTGTATATGAATGATGCTGTTAAAATAAACCTGCTTTACTCTATAGTGATGTAGAGGTTTAACCATGACAACATTTAGCTTGTAATTAGATAGTTTGAAACGTGTTTTTAATGAGTTTTTAATCAGTTGGTTCATTAACAGTTTCAAGAGTTTTCTTGTTTTCAGTGAATCTGCATCATGACATTAACTTTAGGTTTAAAACCATAACAGTAACACTGTGAATTAATGTGGACATTGTGTAAGTATTTAGAGAAATAGATTTGTTCTCAATAAACATTACTTAAGTTTTTATATAGATAGATTACAAATGCTCCAATCAATAAATCATTTACATTTTATCTACTTTTTAAAATATTTTTTGTGCAAATGTCTTGTAAAACATAGAGGATGGAGAGGATCAGTTCTTTCAGCTAAATATTAAATTCTTTAAGAAGAACTGTTATTGATGTTGATTTTTATATTTTTAGTCACCTTACCTCCACGCACTGGCGCAGGTTCTTCTACACCTGTTGCCACCTTACCTCCACTCACTGGCGCAGATCCTTCTACACCTGTTGCTATCTCTCCTCCAAGCACCGTGGCAGCACCAACTGCTGCAACCTCCAAACTTCCCCCCTCTAACAAACCCACACCCACCTCTCTATCCACCACCTTAAAACCTTCAAGCTCTTCAATAAAAACAGCTGGTAATGTATTCAGCTTTATTTTATAGTTTTGGGAAAGTTGTGTTACTTTTTGAATGATAAAATTAGTTGTTCTTTAAGAATCGTAGAAGGTAAGAATCTTGGTAGTGGATTTCTTCAGCCTGATGGTGACCTCCGCATGCTCTCAAACCTGCAGTCAATACCTCACATCCAAGCACCCAAAATGATACTTCAACCAACAACCAGTCAACCAATCAAACCACCTTACCTGCAAGCATCTCAAATGAGAATTCAACCAACAACCAGTCATCCAATCAGCCAACCACCTCACCTCAGCCAAACACAACCATGGCTGCCACCACAGGTTGGAACTTTAAATATTTAATTTGGGACTTTAACAAGTTTTTAAGGATTAGACTTTAGATTACAGACTGTAGGTCTGCCAAGATTCAGTCAACAGAGATCAGGTAACTGTAAATTTAAGACGGTTTGAGAATGTGTTTCAGTTTTTAACTTTTTTCATGTTTCCCTCTTGTTTTTTTTTTTGTTTTGTTTTTTCAGCTGAACCCAGCACGAATCTAAAGTGTGAGTATCAAATTTGAAGTTATGAACACATGTTTATTAAAGGTGATCTTTTTTTTTAGATTGTCTAATATAGAAATTGCTTTTTCATTTTAATTTCATTCTAACAATTGGAAATAAAAACTTGAAGTTTGGTTTTATTTCAGCTCAAATGTAAATCTGTTGCTTTGCAGGTTCTTACAGTGTTGAGAAGATCAAGTTTGGTCTAAAGATAAAGATGACAGATTCTACTCCTGGTTACTACACCATATATGTTGCTGAGAATGAAGGTTCATTTGAAAGGAAAGGCAATTTTTCCTTCCCCAGTAAAAACTCAACTCATGAAATCAAACCTCTGAAGCCGTGCACCAAATATCAGTTAAATGTTACATTTATCGACTCCAATGGTACAGAAATACCCTGTAACAAAACTGAAGATAAAACAAAAACAACTGGAATGAGTGAGTAAAATGCTTCATATTTTATCTTTACTTTATTATTGACTGAAATGAGATTCTGTGAAGAACTGAGACAAATATTGTTTCTGTGTTTCAGCTGAACAAGAAATTGAAAACATTTCCTGCCCTCCTGGATATTTCTGTTACCAAAGTGGTTGGAACATCAGCTCTTTATTATCAGAAAACAAGAAGGTTTCAATTGAAGACTTCAACAATGGATCGTATCGTTTCAAACATGCTTATGACGAAATGTGTTCAGATTTAGTTTTGGAGTTTCCTCCAGAAAACTGCTCAAATGTCACCTTTACCGTGTCTGAAAAGTTCACTCTTGGTATGAACAAAAACATATTAATAATAATTAATATGATTATCAAATCTGTGGATATAATA